AAGTAAAATGTAGATTTCCTTACCAATACTGATAGGACTAATAGAAGAGTAAAATACACTGATGAGCATGTAAAGTGGTTAAAATTATGGAAGATAATCTTGTAGTGTCTTAAAAAAAGGATATAACTCTGCCCCATCAATTTCACTTCCAGGAATTGGTCCTCCAGATGAGCTTATATGTAGGTGACGTACAGAGCCATACAACTAAGCATTATCTGTAATACCTGAGATTGATGCCCATCAACAGAAAACTGGTAAATAAATTCTGGTGTGTTCATGAAAATGAGATATCATGAAGCTATTTTTAAAAGCAAAAATGGTTTCTATACAATGATATGAAAAGACCATTGTATTGGTGCAGGAAACTAGACATAAGAATGGAGGCCCAATTGACCTTTCCCACGGACACGAAGGAGGGAACAGCAAGCTGATCCTCCTTTGGCAATATGCCAGTATGTTGGCACACTGCAAGTTCCAGCATAAGTCAACAACAGCTGAGATCTAGTTTAGAGAAATACTTAACTGTACACTTTGCAAATAATGAGAAACAGATGAATTTTCTATTAACCTAATTGCTTTCTCTCTAGTCTAAGTTGAATAAAAGCAAGGTGAGCCAAATGCTCAGGGCTCTTTATCCACTAGAGGCAAGAGCCCTCTGGCCCCTCTTTCAAAATTATCTCTCTCTTGGGCTAGGGATTTAGCTCAGTGGTTCTGGTGCCTGCCTCACAGCGGAAGGACCTGAGTTCGATCCCCAGTACCAAAAAACAAAACAAAAAATTATCTCTGTCTCTTTTCTTTAATCTCCATTCAGCTCTTCAGCTGAGGCATTCCTAGCAGGCTGGTTTCTTTCATATTGATTTCCTAAGGGTGCCTTAACTATTACAAACTAGGTGGTTTTAAAACAACAGAAATTTATACCTTCACAGTTCTAGACACTAGAAGTTTTAAATCAAGCCATTGATGGGGCACATGCCCTTTAAAGGTCTTGGGAAAGATCTCTTCCCTCTTTTCTCTTAGCTCCTGGTGTTTTCTAGCAATCCTTGCCTTGTAGATATCATGCCAAACTCTCTCTCGAACTTCCCGTGACATTCTCCCCTCAATTAACGTTTAAGTAACTGAGTACCATGATGAGTCAAATTGATGCACAAAACTACCTGCCACTACGAGAAATATATTAAGTGAAAAATCAAGGTACAACATAATGTATAAAGCATGCTGCTACTCATTTACCAAAGAGGAAGAATAAGAATTTTCATAATCTATTTCCAAAAGCTGTGGAAGGATTCTCAAGAAACCAGTGAAAACAGTTTAATTGTACATATGTGCATTTTTAACTGTTTAGATTTCCCTTGAAATGGGAAAGAAATAATTTACTGTGTACCATTTTGTATAAACTTGGTTATTGAACCATGCAATATATTAACTAGGCAATGTGTTTAATTAAAAAAAGATACAATTTTGAGATCTGTGGTTTTGGCACAGCAAAAGAAGATTAGAAAGATTAGAACAGGATATAAAGTCCAGAAATACAGGAACATGCTCATGCACACACACACACACACACATGCATACGTATACACACCAAAAGGTACTTCAAATTGGTTGATAGAATTAAATGTTAATTTTACATTCTTATGCTTATCTGAATTGTCTACTTCCTCAATGAGTCTGTCTCTTCTGTAACAACAGAAAAACAACTCAAAATGTCTTATCGCTTTTATAAAATTTAGCAGAGGCAAATAATTAAGGATCAAAGCTTTTTGAAAATAATTGTTCCTAAAAGTTCAAAAACTGATAGCCTCTCCTATTTAAAAGAAGAAAAGATAGACTCAGAAGCTTCATTAATTGTACAATTCATGTATTATGAAACTCAGAATTAAAAGTGAGAAATGTATTTAAGGAAATCATGTCCAAAATGGAAGCTGTTTGATGTGATATATTTGTTATTATTGCCTTGTTTATATTCATGCTTTTTACACATCCAGTAACCTTGTGCAGACACATGGCTATAAATTCTTTACATGTGTGATTGAGTCCCATATCAGTACCTCTGGTATGGATTTTTCTTCTGTTTGCTGGGCAGGTATGTACGGAGGTCCCACAACAAACTCAACATGTTTTCAGATGCAGCTGCTCATCACTTCCCACCTCCCAGAATCCCCATTTCGGTGTCATGGTCATCTCTCTGGGTACAGGGGCCTCACCTCTGTCCCTCTCTCATGTCCAATTGACTGATTACCAAAGGCTGTCAATTCTGTCTTGTAAATAACTCTACAATTCATTTATGTAGTCTAGTCCTGCTGATTCTTTGTTGTTTCTTATTTGCAATTCCTGAATGGTTCAATCTGTCTTCCACATTAGTATGGAAGCAACTGGTCCAAAATGAAAATCTTGTGACCGTGTTATCTAAAAATCCTTTTATGACTTCTAGTGATTGCTCCCCCCCCACACACACACACATGTGCACATGCCCTTGTTAAATGAATGAGCAAATAGACAAATGGATGACTGTGTCATGGGCAGTGAGCAGATTCAGACACAGTTATTTTCACTTTCATTAGCCATAACATAATTGTTAGAAGAAACACCAGCAAAGCCCTTTGCCAGTCCTTAACCTTGAAACAACTGTGCACATCAAATCAAACTATTACAGATGAAGTTCTATTTTGCATTGTAAGCTTTTTAATTTTATTTTATTAAATCAACCAATGGTTCCAATTTCTATGCAATTTTGGAGTCAAACACAAATAATAACATAGCAATCACAATAGGATTTCGGCTGAGCTAGAGACACAATGAAGATGTATTTCCCAGTGGCAATTTAAAATTCAGAATCTTCAGCTTCAAATCCATATACATTGAGCAACCCAAAGAAATGCTTTTTCTAAAATAAAGATGACTGATTCTTATCCACTAAATTATTATTCAAAACAAATTATTTGTTACATACTTAAACACATTTCTGTAACATGAATAGCTTTCAGAGATATATAGCAATCATCATGTGGTAAATTTAAATGCAACCCTGACCTGTATTTCTATGAATGAATAAAAATATTACTTGGGCAATCTAGCTTTTGCAGTTAATCAAGAGAATTGTATCTTTAAGGGTATCCTAGCAACCTCTCAGCAGTGAAGGAAAAACCCAACTGACAATGTACCCTGATTTAATTATGCTGCTGGACTCCATCAAACTTTGCAGTTAATCAAAAAGATACTTAGAAACAGAAATTAAGGTACAGCTGAAAATGAGAAATACTGGTAAGAAAGAAAGAATTTCCTCACTAAATGAGGAATTTGTAGAGAATGTTTATAAATAATGCAGAATAGTAAGGAGATTGATAAAGTTATGAATCCAGCGGAGGTGTCAGAATGAATATATTACTCTAGGAGATTGCTAGTCCCCAGGCCAAAATTACACTGGGGTAATCTCAGTTTTATAAATATTTTCAAAATCTGCAACTCTACTACATTTTCATTGGCCTGCAAATGTATACTCTCCAGTGGTGATATATTTTATGGAAACTTAGCCCTGGAGAAATATACTTGAGCACATATTTAGAAGTATTTCTCACAATGACCACCACATTCACATTACAATTCTATGTGGACCCATACTTGGCACCATACAAACAGAATCCACAGAAACAGGTTTGTTCAAGATATGTTTTATTGGTTTTTGTGATTTTGTAATAGACATGAAAATTCAGGAAGCCAAAGAAAGACATATGGAAACTTTGTACTGCAAACACAATCTAAACTTAGGAAAACATAATGGACTTTGTATGTAAATAAACACTCCCTTTGGGTGTACATGCAAATTCTTATTTATATACATCTGTCTTCACAGATGCTGAGCAATGTATTTTGAGAAATTTAAACACTTAGTAATGTTTTACTTTTATTTAAAATATTCCCTATATATAATTTTAAAATTTCTTAAATCTCCAGAACAGAAACCTCTTGCCCAGACCATTAAGTATATACACATACACATACACATATACTGCTTTTTTCTACAACTTATGCACTGTAATGTAATATATCAGCTTCAACTGTAAAAGAGTTACAAAGTATCAGATACTTGGAAGCTTTGTGAGAATAAATGAGGCAAAACATTGAAAACCAGCAACTGCCAACAAGTATGACTGCCCTCTCCCTTTTTTTTTCCCAGAAAAACAAAGCCACTGATATAAGTGCTTCCTGTTCATTCTTGGTGTATGAACTAATTAAATGTGTGGACTACCATGAGGTGGGATCTCCCATCAGCCTGGTCTTACATAACAGGAGGCATGGAGAAGTTTGCAGCTTCACTGAGGACACACAGCAGGTAGGGTAAGAATTATCACATTATGGAACTGTGAAGCTCTGTTTTCTGGATTTTGTTTTCTTGTTGCTGTCAGCTTCTCACCTCTCCTTGTGTCACTGAACCTGTCTTCAGAAAATCCGCCCGAAGTGGAGTTTCTCTACTCTTCTGTGGAAAAGCTCATCAATTTCACAGCACATTTAATACTGAATACTGTACTGAAAGTGAAGCTCTAAGAGGCACAAGTTTTTGTACAGCTATTTTATGGTAATATGGAGGTTTAGAAACTTTTTCTGCTTGTCTTTTAGAAAGTGTTGTCAATGTATCATATATATATGATATACATAGAGAGATATATATACACACACACATACCTTCTCTCTACTTTATCAATTATTTCTTGAAACAGAGTCATAATTAGCCATGGTATAGTTGCAATGATTATTGAGTGCTTATGCCAGGCATCCTACCAAGCATGAACCTAAGCACTACCTTTCATCTGCTCAGCAGGCGGCGAAACCACTGAGCTAAATCATCTGCTCATAACAAGTATAAGAAGTATTCTGAAAGGTCAGTACAAGCTGAGGAAGCCATAGTTAGGGTACACAGGGAACAGGGATGAGAGGGCAGGGATGGAGCCATCTACTCTGAGAGCAGGGACTTGGGCTTTTAATAAGAACAAAGCACTTGCAAATGATATGAAAGAGAACTTTATTGGGAGAAGGGTAGATATTGTGTAGCAGGAAAAAAGCTTTTAAAGGTCTTAACAATTTATGGTACTTCTTTTAATCCTAAAAATTCATACTGTCACTAGGATACAAATTTCCTTTTGCCCTTTTCAGGCAGATTTGCATTCTCTACCTACCAGCAAAGAGGCAGTGGGGTGGGGGTTACATACCAGAGAGGGAACCAGTGTGTCAGGCTGTGTGGCTGAACATGAAGATGATGATCAGAAAAACTGAGTCATGAAATAAGTTTGTGTTTATTCTATGACTCATTTTAATCTTTCTCACTTTTTTATTACAAGCATTATGTACCATTATGATAGCTACTAAGGGTGAAAGGATTAATTAAAACTATAATTATCTGATAAGACTAGCATACTAACCTGATTTAGGGCAATTCATTTAATTCAACTAAGAATACTGGACAGAGAAAAGGTGAATAATGAAATAAAAATTAAGCTTGCAGATCCCGTTTCCAATACATTCTTCTAAGAAAACCAGGTATTATTCAAATAAAGAGTCATAGTATTTTAAAATTTTTATTAATGAGTTGAGTACAAATAAATTTAAATTGACTTTAGAAAAAATGATTCACTCTCTAAGGTTCATAAAAAAATCTGTACATTTAAATCTAATTTTAATACTTAGCATCATAATGCTTTTAAGCCTATAACTTAATTTTAGCTTTTAATAATTCTATCTGTTGCATCTGGATAAAGACATCATCAGATAGAAAAAAGCAAGAGACTAATTAAAATATCCTGAATAAAAGCTTTTCTATAGTTTTATTGAAGCATTTAAAATAAAACTTTACAAAATAGTTTTGATCAAAAATTATGTTATAAATGAAACATTACATATTTTATAAAGAACTGCAGTACAAATAATAGTTTTATATATATTAGAATGATTTATAACAGTAAATATTATATATAAAAATATCTAAGAAAAAAATTTTAATACAGTTTAGCACTTTTGGGAGATGTTTCCAATAATAACAAGTAACTTTTTAAAGACCTAGCCAAATAAGTCTTATCAAAGTCATGAAGTGATATTCATGAATAAGCACTTCTAAGGACTCTTTCCTTTTATCAGTATGTATGCTTGGCATTAGAAATCATACAATGAACAAATATATAGTGAATTCTTGAAAAAAACACTCAGTTTAGATTAAGTGCCAGTCTAAAGTTTTTATTCTTCTGGATATACTATTTCCTCCACTCTTCATTTTAATAGTGTTTTCCCCTTGAATGGTAGTGTTATTATTGATCCTCAAAGAACAAGCACACCCAGCCTACTCCTCTGTAACTGAGGTGAACTATAGACATCAAAAAGAAAACCAATGCATTTCAACAGAAATTTATCCACCTTATTCAGCAAGGCAGAAGCTCCATTCTAAAACTTTTATCCAAAGTTGCTTTAGAATCAGTCCTGTACATCCAATAGTGTTACCCTATTGTTGTCTTTGGTGTGAAGGAAAATTCAACTCTTAAACATACGTATTAAAATTTCCAAATTAAATTGGAATAAAGGTAGGAAATAAATGTGACTTCCTCTGAAGTAAAGCCTCCCCATCAGCTGGCTTAAAAGTATTAGAAACTAAAAGGTCACAATGAAATGAGATGTCTCTATGGTGATTATGTCTGACTGGCTTGTCAACTGCCCAGGGGATTGGTAAGTCCAACTCTTTTGATATCTGGGTGGGTCATGGAAGTGTGACCTTGGGGTCTATATCTGGTCTCCCACTCCTTCCCTTCTGGAGTCATCTCCTTGCTCTGCTTCCTGGCTGCTGTGACTTAAGCTGCTTTACTTTACTACACCCTTCTACCTTAGAGTTATCTGATCTTGGACTGAGTCCCCTGAACTGTGAGCCACAAGCCAACTTAAACCTTCTCCTCTAGGTTGTGGATGTTGGGTACTGTGTTCCAGCAAAGCTGACTAATACAATCTGTATGTTTTGCTTCATTCCAAAAAAAAAAAAGCCACCTCAATTCTTGGCAAACTAGCTATATGTAGTGTGGATCTGCTCTGTTTCTTTTTAACTGAGCTACTAAAAATCATTCTTTATTAAGGACATTTTTACATTAAAAAGTTTCATTTTTATAATAAATATTATATAAAATATTTTAATATTTACAATCAGAGAAAAATGTAAACTCTAGTCAGTCATCTTAGTGCTACTTCTTCAATGTCATCTTCTACAGAATCAACCACTTTTACTGCTGTTTTGTTATTTGCATGTTTTAATCGCTGTCTATTTGGATTAAAATTTCTTCCTTCACCAAGGAAAAAGTCTTCATCTTCATCACGTTCTCTATCTCTACTGCTTTTACCCTTATCGCTAGGGAGAAAACTTAGAGGATCAAAGTCTCCTTTGCTGGTAGCCAGAGAATTTGGGTCACTGCTTTTAGAGGAGATGGTACTGCTGCCACAGGTACCAAACAGCTGTTCCATCAGGTTGGCTTTTTTCTCTTTTCTTGTAGTTAAATCTATACTGTCTTTATTAAGAGTATCCACATTGGTTTTTGGAAAATCACCAAGGCCACTTTTTTGCCTAAATAGATTTGACTTCCCTGATGTTTTTGCAAATGAAGGCACATAGCTACCAAATGAAAACTCATCTGGAGAGGCTGGACTTCTAACATTTCCTGGATTCTGGCCCTCTCCCTTTGGAGGTAAAAAACTGATGTCTTGCAAATGATGCCCATTAGAAAATTTCTCTGAGAATTCAGAGAACATGTATGTTTTGGAGCTTTTCTCTGAGTGCAGTTTTGATTCCAAATCAGGTATTAATGGCAAAGTAGGGTATTTTAGATTACAGGGATCTTGGAACTCTCTGTCGATCTCATTCAGTTTAGCAAGCAGCATTTCAGTCTTGAGTCGTTCTTCTTCCAATTTATCAATATTTTGAATGTGATACATTCCCATTTGGTACCTTCCAGTTTCCAGTTCTGGCTTTTCTTCTTTCTCAAGTAAAGATGTCTTTTCTTTTTGCTTTTTATCAAATTCTTCTCTTTCCCATTCTGTATGAAATCAAATTTTGAAAATGAGATTTTTATAGCAGGTAATATTTTTAAATAGGAAAATTAAATTACCATCTTTTATAAAGCAGTAATTTGGGTATTAGTACAGTGAAGATGAATAACCATAAAATTTTATCCCTTTATTAGATATTTGGGATTAGGGAATAATATACTTAATGTATACTGAATTCAGGATTCACATTAATAGAAAACATTTTGTTCTTCAAGGTATGGATAGGGAAGGCTATTTTTATAATTCTGTATATTTCATGGTGGTTGGTGGGATAAAGTCATTTACTTTTAAAAATAAGGCCTTTGGTGTCATATTCTTAAGATACATCACTTATTTCTGATAGCACAGGCAATAAGACAGAAGTTCAGACAAAGCCCAAATGAAGAATATTCTTTTAAAAGTAAATGTTAATCTCACAAAAAGAAGCTGCTCTAGAATAAAAGCTGAAGAGATATGACCATTAAACACAATTTATGAAATACTATATTGTGCCCCCCACTGACAGAATCAAAATATGGACAATAGATTAAATGAATGTTTTATTATCAGCTAAATTTCCTGAGGTGGAAAACTACATTAGAATGATGTACGAGAATGTCCTTGTTTGGAAGAAATACACAGAAGTATTTAAGGGATAAGCATGAGGTATACAATTCACTCTGAAATAGTTTATTATTCTTGCCAGTTTTCTCTAATTTTGAAGTTATTTCCAAATGAAAATATTTAATATATAAGAACACTACAAATCTGATAATTTTAATAAATGGCCTACATTCTCATTGATGTCAGAGATCATTCCATATAGACTCCTGGAGGATAAAACATCAATCTGAAGGACAAAGGTGAGTAACAGTCTTCTGCTATTTTATTCCTTTTCTTGTTATCGAGATGGACTTGACCACAATACTGAATTTTCTATTCTGTACTTTAACATGGGAAAGCATCTTGCTCTGTCGAATGGCCAACAGTGATGTATATGTAGTTTATGTCAACAACCATGCTGTGTATATACATACAAATGTAAGTAACAATGGAGTCATGACTTTATGTTCCATGAAGTTCAGCTCAAAAAAATAAAAAAGGTTTTTCTGTAAGCAAGATACTACACAACTAATGGAATACATTCAAAAAGACTAATCTGGATCCCTCCTGCTTACACCTTTACAACATTTTATCCAGATGAAAATGAACTTATTCCTGAACTTTATTTTCAGTGCCTGAACTAATATGAGTTGGTCCACTAACTTTCCACACATTAAGATTTTATAAATTAAAATCAAAGAAAAACTATAGGAAAATATTCAGGACCTCATAATTCATTTTTTTTTTTTTTTTTTGCTTAAACTAATATGAGTTGGTCCACTAACTTTCCACACATTAAGATTTTATAAATTAAAATCAAAGAAAAACTATAGGAAAATATTCAGGACCTCATAATTCATTTTTTTTTTTTTTTTTGCTTAAACTAATCTAGGGACTAGAGATTCTCAATTTCAAGCCAAGAGAGGTGATTTTCACTTGTTTCTTCATCACATCTTAGTTAAAACATAAAGAATGTCTTTTTCTTTCATCTGAATCCTGCTTCATCTACATTTTCTGAAGGTAGTTTTTCCTTTATTCCCTCACTCCCAAAACAGCTGTCTTCAACTTTTTTCTTCCTTCAGTAACTTCATTCAAGTGTTTGTGACTCTTGATATACCATTCCCTACCAGCACATCAACCTTTTCTTATTCCAGATTTCCAATTTAGTTCTGCTAGAAGATATTAAGGGACCCTAACTCATTGAAAGAACTCATTACTTGCTCATGCAAATTTTTCTCTTACCATCCTCTAGCTTCTCAACCCCCTGTTTTACAATATGGAGTCCTTGATCTTTAAAATGTTTTTCTTCTTTTTCCACAATTGGGTTTAGAATCCGTGCTTCTTTGTGTTCATCTTGTTCTTGGGATTCCAGGTCCTATTACACATTTTAAAAATGCAAATGTACATATGGAAAAGAGGAAAATACTATTTAAATAATTATAGATTTATCTTCCATTAAGCATGATTATTAGTTAGAAATTGAAACAAATTTTCATTAAATAATCACAAGTTACCATACACTTTGAAAGATACTTCAAAACCACATAAAATTATTTCTTAATCTAGTTAAAATTTCAAACAAGCTATGTCAAAACCAGTATAATGGAAGTAAAGCCAACACCCTTTGTAAAATTCTGAAGTTACAGAAGTAATTTGCTTTGTACATTTCACAGTGAAATGTGATTAATTCAGTTAACTAGAAACCTATGGCTACTAAACATCTATGGTAGCTACCTGAGGTGTTGCTGAAATGTAACACAGGCAGTGACAACTGCACTGAATTTTTCAAGTCTTTTCTAAATTCAACAATATTTAAATCAAGCAAGAGTATGTTATGAACTTAAAATTCTTTTGTGTCCTATGGCTCCTTTCAAAAATATAAGGCACCTAGTATTAGTAAAAACATGTCTAATAGATAACTGTCCCCTAGTATCCATTTTAATATTGTCCTTTTTAGTAACAGAACTCTGAGTTTCAGCAGGGTATAGGACTGACTGCTCAGTTGAAGACTACATTTGCCAGCCTCCCTTGCACCTAGATAAGACCAAAAAGAGGAAAAAGTAGAAATATTTAACTTCTGATCACAGTTGCAGCAACAGCTTGCTCTCTAGTTTCTCACAGGAATGGGGAGACAGTTCCAGCCACACAGAAGAGGAAGATCTAAAATGGAAGATCAGTGAGGTAGAGAATGACTGACTGCCATGGAGCAAAGCCATATACAACCCTGGACTACCCACTGACTTTGGACTATTGTAAGAGAGAGAAGCCTCTATTTTTTTTATGTCAGCCACTGTATTGAGTCTCTTTTTTGTTGCTGTTCTTTTTGGGTGGGGGGTACCAGGGATTGAACTTGGGTCCTTGTGCTTGCGCAGCAGGTGACGAAACCACTGAGCTAAATCCCCGGCCCTGTATTGAGTCTCTTTCCAAGAGTGACTTTATCTGTACACTAAGCTACCTTTTGCTGAGGTCCTTTCAATCTCAAGAACTGGGGCAACTTTGATTAGTCCTCACCACAACCCTGAAAATTAATCCACCCCCATTTTGTAGATGAGAAAATTGAGGCTACAAAGAGAAATAGAATTTAACTAAAAAGCAAAGCTATCTCTAAAGCTGTATTCTTTACATATATCGAATTGCTACTCCTCCTGCTGAATCTTATAAAGACCAAAATGTTTTAAAATTTTAAAGTTAAAATACTCTACCACTTCAAAGACACAACCTGATCTTGTCTCAATGATAGTACAAACCCAGGGGAAAAACCCAGCAGATACAACTAATGTGTCTAAATTATAAAACAAAAATTAAAACACTAGAGTACACAGAGGAATCAAATCAATCCATCCTACCATAAGAGATCTCATACATGATCTCTAGGAAAATTTATAAGGTACAACAACATGAAATATGCCATATCCCTGAAATAGTCTTTCCATTGGAATTTAAATTGTAAACTTAAAGATAATTCCCTCTTAGAAAAAAGGACCTGCCACTGATTCAGTATGAAAGTCCTTTATATGAAGGACCAATACTGACCTCTGAATCCACTCTAAACTGAATAGTATAATGTCAGATTCCAGCCATGTTCAGCACTCAGTTAACCTATAAATGTCTCTTACATAAGAGGCAAAACAATTTATTCTAACAATTTGAAAACTACTATAGTCTGCTATTAAACATAAAAACATTTAGGTTTTCCCAAGACCATCTAGGTGTATAAAAGATAAACTCTGAAAACAAATTCTTTTACTTCCAACCTAGAAAGTATATTCAACTTTTCTGGAGTATCTGAAAATGCAATGAGTTCATCTGAAGGAACTTAATAAAGTACAGATTTGTCTCTTGCTCTTTAAAAGGCTAACTGAATATTTATATATATATATATAGCATTAGCTCCTTTGCTGAAGCTACCATGTTTTTAGGAATAATCATATTGCTAGACTCACCAAGGTAAGATGTTCTGGTTCATCCCATTTGTTTTCATAACACATAGTTGTTTCTGGTGTTACAGGGAATTCTTCCAGTTCAGACTCTTCAGTGGTTTGTACACCTTTGGTACACAGGTCTGTAAAATCACTCTGGCATGCAGCTACCATTAAAGTATAAAAAATTTTTTCTAAGGCCATTGAACAATACTAAGGTATATGAAATTCAACTGGTATATATTCATTATCCAAATAAGATAATATATGTTTTGCTCAGTTCAATGAGTGCACTTTACTAAAATTTTTGTAGGATTTAACTGGAAATTATGTGATTTGGAGAAATTTTGACTGTAAATGCTATTAAGACTTTGCAAATTTTGTTTTTAATTTTTGCAATTCATAGAATTATACTTTTTTTTAAAGTAAAACCATGTCTAACAATATGAAATCTTTATTAGTGAAATTAAATGATATTTGAAATTTGCTTTAAAATACCCCACAAAAAGTAGGAAAAACAGATGAAATAAAGCTAGGCTCATCCATAAGTAAAGGTTCATTTACCATCTTCTCTATTCTGTGTATGTTTATATATTTTTTTTAATTAGGTAAAATAATCTTAATGACCTTAGATGGAAAAAACTGACCAAAGTTGAATAGCAGCACAATTCATAACTGCTACATTTGGCAGCAGCCTTTATGCTCATCAAAAGATGAGTGGATAAAGAAATGTGGTATTTACCCACAATGGAGTACTACCAGGCCTTATATAAAGATGGATAAATTTGAGTTATTAGATCATGGATGCACCTTGAGACCACAATGTTAAGTGAGATAAATTGGACATAGAAGCTTAAATATTGCATGGTTTCTCTTATATGAGAAAGCCAAAATATAAATTAAGAGCAAAATAAAATAGGAAGTAGGAAGATCTTTTTTAGAATTAAGATGTGTTATATACATGTATCAACTCCCCACAAAGAAGGTAATCAGTATGTATTGCAAACAGGTACTAATAAAAAATAAAAACAAATAAAGAAAGGATTTCTGAAAATCAAATTCAAATTGCAAAGCACCACAATGGGGTTCTTTCCTCTCCTCTCCTTCTACTTCGCAGTATTTTGTTAATAGCTACTATATACCATTTTTTCTTGATGAACTGTTTTCTTCTTTCTTTAGAGAGGACTTTGGCATACGATTAGAATATATGTTTTTTATATCCAGTTCTCTCTCTTTTTCCTGAAAACAAACCCAATGCAATTAAGGAAATAGTCTCAGTTTAAAACAAAACAAATACTCTCACCTAGTCAACTAGCATTTTCCTTACACATTGAACTGAACCACAGTCAAATGTCTCTAGTACATGTAGGTTAGGGAAGAGCAGTGATTCTCCCTAAAAATTCCAATATATCCTGATAGGTAATCTCCATTTTGTACATTCTCCTACCTAACAGAGGCAACAGTACCGAACTGTCACCTAGTCTTAGAGACAAAGCATTTAGTCAGAATCTTTTAAATATGGTTTCTGACTTACTGAGAAAAATTAGACCATGCTTTTAAACAAAGGTGTTCTTGACCTCTGGGGCAATATTTTTTTCTGAGAAATTAATAAAAAGGAAACCATGTAAAATAATGCATAATTTTGCACAACTCTGCACAAGATTTCAACCCATCAATGAGCTCTAGGTAAAATTTTAAAGTCTGATTTAGTAAAATCAAATTATTTGAATGCTACCTCTAAACATTGTGAAAATGAAGGCATTGCTTGAAACAACTTTAAAAAGAATTAATGATGGGGTTATCTGAAGAAGAACACTGGATTATTTAACCATGCAACACCAATGCTAGCTCCCATAGTTTTCTTCTAGGATTTTCCAATTTATTTATTTAGTTGTTCCTATGTGACTAAATTTTACCTTGTTAAAGTGATTATGTCAACAAACCTTTTCTTGGTAGAATTTTGTATATTATGTCTTATAAATGTGAATAATAAGTGTTTTAAAATGTTAGATTTTCTTCTAACTTATATTACAGGGGAAACATGATATTTAAAATAAAGTGCTTACCTTTAATTTGTGATACAGTTGTTGTAGCTCCTTTTGAAGAACTTTATTTTCATCATGAGCCTCAAATGCCCTTTTCCTTTCAGCAAGCAACTGTCTTTGGAAACTGTTAGTATTCAGCTCAAGATTTTTTGATAGTTCCTACATGTACAAACATATTAATAAACAGTACTTTGAAAGAATCCAATAGTAAAACACAGTAATTAACAGGGTCAAAATGATTTTAGTAGCAGTACAATATAAGACAAATCAGGCTTACGCATTTCCCTGAACACACACGCACAGCCATTTAAATGTGGAGTAAAAGGCAACCAAAAGATGTGATGAGAAACACAGGCTTTCAGAAATCATTTCTTGGACAAATAATTAAATATACTGTGCTATTAAAAGGCACAGATTACATGCAAAGCATCTCTAGATAAAAACAACAGCTATTGCCATGATCGTCAAACATACATGTTCCATGGAGTTTATAAAAATACTTAGGTTAAAATATTTTCTTTTAGAATAAGTTGTCATGATACCATTCCTAAATTCTAGATGAAAGAAAAATGCCTTTTATGTATAAAAAAGTATAAAATCACAAAGAAATAGAAAATAAAACCAGTCATAATTTCATTACCCTGTGATTATCACTGTGAAAATTTTAGTGTATACAGTATGAGACCTTTTATATATTTTCTCACTAAATACCATAAGTGCCTAAGACAACAGACTTTAATACTATTTTTTAAAATGGAATAGTATTCTATTTTTTTAGATTGTCATAACATACATAAGCAAATTCTGCTGTTCAACATCAGGGTGTTTCCCAATTTTCCTATAGTGAATATCCTAGTATAGATCATTTTACTCATATCTTTTATTATTTCCCTACAATAAATGTTAGGAAATAAAGTTCCTTGGCCCTCACTGAAATAAAGAATTCCTACTCTTTGAAACTGTGAAAAGACACTGTAAGAAAAAATATTTACAAATCATCTATTTGCTGACAAACTTCTAACAAAATATATACACACACACACCGTGTGCATGTCACAAAATTCAGTAATAAACTCCTCAGTAAAAAACAGAGGAAATATTTGAACAGATGTTTCACCAAAGAAGATACAGAGACTTATAAATAAGCATAAAGAATGATGCTTCAGGGGCCGGGGATTTAGCTCAGTGGTTTCGCCGCCTGCTGCGCAAGCACAAGGACCCGAGTTCGATCCCCAGCACCAAAAAAAAAAAAAAAAGAATGATGCTTCAATATCATTAGCCATAAGGAAATGCAAATTAAAGCCACAATGAGGAAACAATATTCTCTATGTCTAAAACTTCAAAGACTAAGCAATATGTGCAAAAATATGCATGAATCTCAATTTTGCTGCATAAAAGAAGGCAGGTATTAAAAAACATACTATATGACGACTCATTGTTAAAAATGCAAACAAAATTTATAGGGATAAAAAGATCAGTTAGGGATTGGTGGGCAGGAATTGACAAGAAGGGGGGAATATAAAGAAGCATTAGAAAACTATACATAAAAATGTTATAAAATTGAAGTCTACAAGTTCAAAAATTGGAGTTTCGTGGTTGATAGACATTTGTACAATTTAAAGACTTTTGCAAAGCATTACCAAAATGCCCTCAGGAAAGGTTTTAACAATTTATTCTCTTTAAAGTCTAGTAGCCTTTATTTCATTAGTCTTAATTAGGATATCCTAATTCTTTATCAGACTGTCCTTCCAAAAAAAAGAATACATATAATTCATTTGTATTTCTTTGATTGCTAAAGTTAATTTTCATGTTAATCAGCTACCCATATTCTTGACCCACTGTTATTTTATACTGCAATAAGAATCTAAGATAATGACAAAATATGGGGAAAGTAAATTGAAAAACAAAAAAATGTAGGAAAAGTAACTGGCAAGAAAAAGCTAGGAAATTTCTAGAACTGAAAATGTGAAGAAACAGATGGAGTTGGAAAAACGACGATAATGATTGGATACAGAAAAAATCAACAATGGATGTTGATTCTGATGAGGAACAAGATAGGTGCATATTCTTACACCAAGGGGAAGAAAAGTCATTGTACATATGGCAGACAAATCAAGGGACACACTGTTAGGGGATCAAAATAAACATTACCAGTGAAGGCCAGGTCAGCATCATGTGCCTCCAAATGTGATACCTGAAGAAAGGGACCGGGGAGGGCAAAATGGCCATAGAGAGAGAAGAACCAAAGCAACACGTATACCCAGGTGACTAAGGGAAAACACTGGACTCAACAGTAGAAAATGATACCTTATAAAATCTAGAGACCTAGGTTAGCAAAGCAGCAAGAGAAACAAAATATCCCATCATCTGCTACCTTGGCTCCACAGCCAGGGGACAGGAGTCCACCCCCATCCATGGTAAAGGTGAAAGAGTCCCAGCAAACCCTCCAGTGCAGTTACTGCAGCCCTAGCTACTGGGAAGTTTCACACCTCTGCAGGCTATCAGCCTAAATAGATAAGAGGTGTGAAATCTGTATAGTAGTCTGGCTATGGAAAAGTAACTCACTTCATCTCCCAGAAAGCCCCAGGGCGCAGCAGCCAGGAGCCATCTTGAGAAGGGATGAATTTTCTGAATTCCATCTGTTCTAGGGATCAGAAAGCTTAACATATTCCCATCTCTGATACCCCACGGGCATCCCACTGCACTGGCTGGCAGGTGACCATCTCACTAGTCAGACATGGCTCCATGAAGTGACTGACACAAATGCCCTGAGAATGCCACACAGTGGGGAGCGGGTGCTATGACACAGAGATGGGGAGCAGGGAGCCGGCCCTCTCCCTCTCTTCCAGACCAGGCAGAGAAATGATTCCAGAGATTCCTGCCGAGGCACTTTCCAAATAGCCCTATGTTTCTGATGCATTCTCAATGAACATATGGTGGACACCACAAGTAAAAGAATGGGGGCAGGGAAAGCGCCTAGCCCTTGTTGTGCCCCCTGGGCACATAGCTTAAAAAGGTTGGGAAACAGATGTTACCCAGCACTGGCCATGTTCCACTGTTTCCAGAGAGTACCTCAGCCGGCAGGAACTTTGCCCAGTTCCCCCCTTGACCCACTTCGGTTCAACCCCTGGTGGGAACTACAACAGAAAGCAGTGGGGGAGAACAGCTTCCAGCAATGCTCTGTTCTGAGGAATCCGAAGCCAGGAGGAATCTGAGGTCCTGCTGCTGGGTGGGAATGCCCATAGCAGCAGCAGAGAGGAATAATACAACTTTTGCTTCCCCTGAACCTTACTTAGGTCCATTTCATATATTACACCTGCACCTTGTGAGATCTCAGACTTCTGACAAGGGTGTATCACAAAAGAGGTATCGTGATTCCTGCCCCTGCCTCTCCCTGTGAAGCACATGGGTCTTAACCACTCTCTAGTCAGAGGACAAGTCCTTCCCAGTCCCTAAATACTACTTGAGTAGCCCATACCAGAGACTATTCAAGTAAAAGACGAATAGGTCAAGAGTGCCTGAGGAAACTTCCATCACCACAAGGGGGCCACCACTCCACTGCAGGAGTGGCCACACAGGGTGACCCCACATACTTGGCTGTCTCAACTGTTAAGAGCTCTCCCATTTTCACATGACCCAGTGAAGCTGGTTTACAAGACTGATACAGTACATGCTGTATCCAAACTCATGAACCCCAGCTAAAGAAGCTATAGGGACAGTACACTACAGTACCCAGCAGAACAGAAACAAATGTTACATAACAAACTGGCATCCCTGGATACATCTTTAGAGGAAAGCCAAAGCAACCATTCCATAAAAGTACTAATGATACTCATTTTACCAGATGCACAAGTCTCAAAATAGGAACACAAGAAACATGAAAAACAAGGTAATATGACACCTCCTAAAGTTCATTGCTAATAGATTCCAAAGACATCAAGGTCTTACCCCATCACAATAGTCACACCAAAAAAAAAAACAAAAGAAAAAACCTTAGGAATAAAACTAATGATATAAAAGATCTCTACAAGGAAAATTACAAAAAACTGGAGAAAGAAGTTGAAGACACTTGAAGATAGTCTCTCATCACATTCATGAGTTGGAAGAATATTGTTAAATGTCCATACTACCCAAAGCAATCTACAAATTCAATCCCCATCAAAATACCAATGACAATCTTCACAGAAATAGAAAAAATCCTAAAATTCATAAAGAAGCACAAAGACCTTAGTAGCCAAAGCAATCTTGAATAAAAAGAGTAAAGCTGGAGACATCACAATACCTAGTAAATCATACTACTGGACCACAGTGACAGAAGCGGTATGAAACTGGCACAAAAATACATACATACACCAGATGAATAGAATAGTGAACCTAGAAATAAACCCATGTTGACAAAGGTAACAAAAACACACTGGAGAAAGGATAGCCACTTCAAAAATTGGTGCTGAGGAAATTGGATATCCCTGTGCAAAAGATTGAAACCTGACTCCTATCTCTCACTATACAAAAATCAACTCAAAATAGAGCAAAGGCTTTTATGTAAGACCTAAAACTCTGAAACTACTAAAAGAAAACATTGCAGAAACTGTGAGATATTGGTACAGGCAATGATCTCAATAGGACTCAAAACGCACAGAAACCAAAGCATAATTTGACAAGTGGGAATAGCCAGGACTTATACAACTCAAAAAACTTAACAAAAAGCAAGTGATTTAGTTAGAAAATGTGTAAAAGATATGAATAGACACGTCTCAAAAGAGGAAATATAAATGGATATTAAGTATATGAAAAAATACTGTCATTAGCCAATAGGGAAATGCAAATCAAAACTACAGTGAGGTACCATCTCATCTCAGAAAAGCTATTATCACAGAGAAAGAAAAATGTTGCTAAGGATGCAGAGAAAAAGGAAGTCTTACATACTGTTGGTAGGAATGTAAATTTGTACAGCCACTACTGGAAACAATATGGAGGTTCCTCAAAAACTAAAAATAGACCATATGATGTAGATATCCCTTTCCTGGGTATTTATCCAAAGGAAACAAAGTCTGCATACAGAAGAGACCTGCATGCATCTATTTACTATAGTACCAGTTACAATCCCTAAGACATAGAATCAGCCTAAGTGTTCATCAACAGATGTTTGCATAAATAAA